TATATATAAACGTTTGACTTATTAGCCAACTTATGTAATAAAGGTTGATCACAAATTAACACTGGGGCTTTTGAGTGAAGATGTTGGCAGAAAAAGACCAACTGTAGGCTGTACTATGGGCTCTCTGTTTATGTGAACACTTAGAGACCTCCTAATAAACACAGTGATAAGGCTGCAGTTATTTATGTTCTGTTATCAGACAACATACCTGACATTTTTAAACGACAAACTTTCACCTTGTAAAAAGACTGATTTTTTATCCCTTGAATCGAGCCAGATAACATTAAACAGATCTATAAATAGACCCTATTGATTTGGCTGGACTGAATCTTAATACCTTTTAAAAAGACTCCAGCAAATATTACTACCAGCAATAAAAATGGTGAAAAAAACATTTCCATTTGTTTTTAAAACGTTAAAAGGAAGTGGAACACACTGTCATGGGGGCAGCTATAAGCTAAATACTTACCCTTGGGGCCCACAACCAGCCCGACGACTCGATACGGGACCCGCACCTGATGTGGTAAAAATAAACAAGTATTAACGCCTCTTTAAAGTAAATGCATTATAAAAGATTGTGGTAGAAACAATGCCATGGATGCTGACCTGGATGGTTGTCTGCCCGGGTAGAGCAGGAGTCCCTAAACTAGTTGCAGCTGACAAAGGGCCGGCTTTGTTCCTGGAGGCTCTGATCAGGGAGAAGTGCTCAGCGGCAGAGAGGATCTCCCTCTTCGCCATGGCCACGTCCTCTTTGCGGCCGGTCACGACGAAGACGGGCTGCTCTCCCCTCACTGGCGTCTTAATGTAGGTGTTTGTCTTGGCTCGAAGGGCCTTGATCTTACAGCCTGGAGAGACAAAAGCAAAAGTGGTTTAATAATAAAGAAAACTTGATACTGCTAAAAGGAAGCAAAACAACCAAATTAGGTAACTTTTGGAGATTTGTCTTTTTCTAGCTTAAACTCTCATCATCAGTGCTGGAAGTTTCCGTTTGACATTTACTACTCAATGAAACTGGTCAACTATAGTACACGAAGACTGAAAGGTAAACATGTCTGCTGTTCCTCATCTGGAAAACCAATGAGATGAAAAAGATTGGCATTAGGTGGATAAAAAAAAAGAACTGAAAGTTGCTAGGAAGGGTTGATAGTCTACGTTTAGCTAGTTACCATGAAATTACTATAGATGGTTGATCGAAGGAGGAAGAGAATATAAAAAACAAAATAAGACTGAAGTTAGACACAAGAAAGAAGAGTTACAAAGGGATAAAAACAAGAGGACAGAAAATGGATTAGGGAAATATGAAAGAAAAAAACAAAAGCAAGGAAAAGAAAAAAATAAACCAGTATTTTAATAACGACTCTAGATAAAAATTCCGGAAATATCAACAACTTTCAACCCTCAATTCTTTTTCCTTCCATGCCAATCAAGACCTGGAAAATACTGAGCTTACATTACAATCTCTCATTATTACTCTTTGTGGCCATAATAAAGGGCATTTTAATGGCAAATAGCCTTAGGCCTGAACTTTAGCAGCACCCGGACTCATTTCCAGCCATTAATTCCACTTCCAAGTAGCCGGGCTTATGAATTAAATATTCCTTTTAACAGTGGTTGAGAGTCCCACATTATGACCAGAGCCATTTCCTGTTGTTGTCAACACCAGGCACCCTCCCCCACCTGATCTAACAACACTCACCCAACCAGTTTAAACTATATCAACTTGATGTAAAATCCTCCATACAATGGACACCGTTTTTATATTAAACTTAGCTTTTTAGGCTAAAACTGCGGGAGTTAAATTCTCGACAACGAACAAGGAGAAAGCTAAAGCTACACAGCTGATGTGGCAAAGCAATAATGGTGACCAACGTTTTTTTTTTTCCTTCTGTTCGGAGACAAAGCAAAGCCGGGTTAGAGAAGGACCACAGTCGGCTAATGCTGCATTACATGTCCAAAAAAACACGCCAATGCTTTCAAATTTATTTTAATTCACAGGAACGAAATATTGGAGCAAACTGGCGCAACGAAGATGACAAAATGTAAACTTTTAAGGTTGTTTGGTCAGGGTGGTGTTGACCCAGTTAGCGGGGGGAGCTAAGCTAGCTCAAGCTAACCCCAACCGTTGTAGCTGTACGCTGAAGTTCGTGTATGATTGGAAGCTTTCCATTCGTCAAGTTGAACGAGATCCTTTCTAGCTCAGTTACTAACAATACAATTATTCACATTCTGATTCGGAGTACTTGCATCACATTTAATACTTAAATAATGTACGTTGTGTAAGAAAAAATAAGGGTAAATGTCAAATCTGGAGCCAAAAAGCAAAACCTTTGGAGGAGGTTTATATTTAGGCAAATTTATCTTTCTCCATTAATACCACCTTACCTCCAATTGTTTTGTGAATCTTTATGTCCAAACAAAGTAAAAAATTGCAATCCGTGTTTAGCATGCCGTATATCAACCCAAAAGTTCTCTGCTTCTGTCTCCTTGAACCCCAGTCAGCCTCACACTGACCCTGGTTCTGCTGGGGGTTTCTTCCTGTTAAAAGGGAGTTTTTCCTCTCCACTGTTGCTACAAGCATGCTTAGTGTGAGGGATTGCTGAAGAGTCAATGCAATCAAATGGTTTTCCTTAGATAGAAAACCTTGACCGTATGATCTGGTAAACTGTAAAGTGCCTTGAGATGACATGTGTTGTGAATTGGGGCTATATAAATAAACTAAATTGAAATTTTGAATTGAAAAGTTGAATTTGTATCTTTATAAACCGAGGTTTCATGGAAAACAAAAAGGTACAATTAATCTTATCTGTCCATTGTAGAGGATTTACATTTCAAGTCACCATGGTAGTGACATGTAAAAGGTAATTAAAACTTCCCTGTGAATCTTTATACATTTTACATTTAAACAAAACCTTAAAAAAATTAAGTACCCAGTTCAGGTTTGATTATAAGTGATTTAGATTGTGATGTAAATCATATCATAATATGTTGGAATAGTTACACGCTGAGAAATAGCCTAGATCTAAATCGGAAGCGAACTTCGGCCTTGTTATAGAAAAGTCAAAACAATTGAATCAGCAACTTATTAACACTAAATATTACGTTTAAACTTCCAACTCGACATAGGTTTAAAGGAACTTCGCTGTCCGTCTAATACTGGCCCATAAACAAAGCAGTCAAACCAGGCAAACTCTTACCCTGCCTCCCCACAATCTCTGCAACATGTTCGGAGCTCGGCACCGCCACACACTCGGTCGTGTTGACGCTCTTTCTGCGAGACAGAAGCGAATGTTCTGCCTCGTAAACACCGGGTGGAAGCATCACCATGCCGGGCGGAGGTAGAGCGTCATCCCGCTCCTCTCCGTTGTATAACAACACCGTCTCGACGTGCGGCGGCTCCATCGCGGTACCGCTCTGCCCCGATGGGAGGTGCTGATGGCGGTGGGCCTTCGCTAGCAACGAGCCCGAACAACTTGCCGCTATCCCCTCAAGCTCCTCGTCCTCTGCCGATTTGTTCACTTCATCCCCCGAGGGCGACCGGTGCAGCGGCTTCAAGTCCAGGACTGTACCGAGGATGCTGAAATGAGATACTGCGGGGAGCTGATGGTGAAAGGAAACACCATCTTCTGGTTGTTCAGGAGCCTGGCTCTGGTTGCCGTGGTGCTCGTCGAGGCCCATGCCGGCGAAAGCGTGTACCAGCGGCGGTGGGAGCTCGGACTCTCCCTCATCGGCCTCCAACAAAGACGTGCTGCTTGGCATCATGCAAAACCTACCTAATATTGCTGTTAAAATAAAAAGAATATAAAAAAGTAATATATGTTTTTGGTTAATAAAATATTAAAATAAAAAAGCGACCAGCGCCTGTTAGTTGAAATGTAAGAGCTTTTGTTTTGTCTCTTCAGCTCGCCATGCAGCCAGCCCTCCCTTCACTGTAATCTCGCAGCACCAAATCTCGCGAGAGGACGAAACCGCATGAATCACACAGGTTCGGTCGCAGGCATGCCTAAAAAAAAGGCCACTGTCCTGCAGGTTTTAGAAGTTTTCCTGCATTAGCACAGCTGATTCTGATGAGTGCAGTTCAGCAAAAGCTTGTTTATCATCTATCAATGAAAATCAATAGTGCTGGAGCAGAACAACCTTTAAAACCCGCTGGAATTGATATCCCTATCTATAATATGATTACAATCATATTCATATTTATTTCAAATAAATATACTCTAAATTTGAAATGAATATGATTGTATCAATAAATATTTAATCATATTCATTGATACAATCATATTTTCAAATCTGATTAAAGTCAGTGGAGTGTTGGCCTAGTGGTTAGAGCAGTGCACTTGTGATCTGAAAAGGTTGCAACTAACCAATTGGATCCCCACAGCATGCACTCTGGGTTCCTGAGAAAAACCAATAAGCTAAATTTTTCCAATGTGAGATCAATAAACTTCAGTTATTATTTTAAGTCACAGTATATTTAATTTTTACAAAAGTGCATTAAAGGAAAAACTCAATTTTGTTGAAGAAATATTAGTTGTACACAGTTTAACTGAAATTAGCAATAACAATATTATCAATGCTCAGAGTATTTCAGGTTCTCTTATCAAGACTTCTAGACTCCACTGTGAAAAAAAAAGATGTTTTGTTAGCTTTAAAAAATTACACCCTTTTTTCTATCAATTAGGCTTAGATTAGTTAGACTAACTTTATTATAGGAAGAAAAAAAAATAAAACAGAATGCATTAATTTTCTTATCATTGAAATTTTATTTGTAAAAAAAATCTCTTTAAACAAATTGTTAAATAATGTTTTATTAATAACTAAGAAAAGATTGTAACAGTATAACAACCTTATCCATACCATTAATTCATTAGGTTAATAATCATGAACTATATTGAACAGGGTTGTCATGATCTGTTATCGATATCAGGATTCTGTCTAATATCAGCCCAAAAAAAAGATTATCGGAATATATCGACCCGATCTCCGATATGAGTAAGCTGATTCTGCTTCTCTCTGCATCTGTTTATGTTTACGAAGCAAATTAGTTATGACAAAATGGATCAGTTGTTTTAAAATTGTTGTTGTTGACTAGTTTTATCCGTTTTGGGAATATTGCATGATTAAAACTTTTCTCATACTCCTAACTCTACAAAATAACAAAAAAGTATGTGTGATTCATGCTCATATCATGTTGCAATATCGGTATTGTATCAGAGATGAATAAGTTGTATTTGGGGCACACCAAGAGTTTATTCTAAAGTCTCGGATATCATGTAAAAATGTTAAATTTTTTGCATTTCCTAAGCATTTTTTATTTATTTATTTATTTTTTTTGCTGTCGTGATTCACTGAAAATTTTAAGAGAAATTCTGTATTTTTAGATAAATATGCATATCATATAATTAAAGCAGAATATATTTAAAACAAAATTAAAAAGCAAGATTTAATTCAGATAAATCCATAAAAATCTCCGTATGTACAAAATAACTGTATTTTTTTTATTAGTATTTTATAAAGCACCAAAACCTTTAGAAAACAATTTAAGGAAATGGTGTAACAACCGTCAACTCAGTGAGAGCCACGTTGGAATGTATTGAAGAAGATTCGTTCCGCTCCGACGTTGGAAGATGTGGCCGTAATGACGTCGCTCCTTCTTTCTATTTTGACCAATAGGAGTCATTGGGAGGCGGGTTTATCAACGATGACAGCCAATCCCGTCTCACGTTTCTAAAACTTATTTTTTTTGTACCATCAGTTACATCCGGGTGAAGAGTTTAGGTGAGTCGGTATTTCAGACTGAGACAAAATACAGAATTAACAAACGAGCTTCTTGAGTAGAATTAAAGTGATAGTAGATTCGCATGTATATAACAATGAATTTAATAACCGTAGATATCGCCGAGAATTAGAAACTGCCTTGTGTCTCTAAAAATACATAGCTTAGATAGTTGGCTAGTTAGCTTCGGCTAACCTCTTACTGCTAATATCAATGTCCGGTGCTCTGGTTTAATCGCTGTTTAAGTCGGTTGTTTGCCACATTTTGTGCAGGTTTTGACTTCGATTTTGTTGTTTCTTACGTGTTTAGGTGTTAGCTTTTGGCTGTCGGTGTCGAGTATGTTTAGGTCAGTGAAGGTGCTGCTGCAGGTGCTCTGGGCCCAGTTGCTATGTGGGTGGGTACTGGGCTCTGAGCTAACCTTCGAGCTGCCTGACAACGCTAAACAGTGTTTCTACGAGGATATCATCATCGGCACCAAGTGTACATTGGAGTTTCAGGTATGATACTTTAAATAAATTCCTTTAAAGTATGAGCAGCTTATAAGTAACTTTATTTAACGTTTGTAGTGTGGTATCCACATAGAGTAAATCATATCTAGCGCATGTATTTTGTATTCACAGATAATTTAAATGAATTGCTTAAGCAAATCCTTAGATCAGGCGGTTGTTTCTCATTTTTATTTATTCAAATCACTGTTTTTCTGTTGCAGAATTCATAGCAAATTCAATCTTAAGGCCCTATATCATTTTCAGATGGTGCAGGACTGCTTTATCAGTGTTCCTGCAGATCCTTAAAAAGTCCTAAAAGGCATTGAATTCTTCAAAATAAAATCAAGGCCTTAATTGGTATTAAAATGTCTTAAATCAGTCTTTCATTGGTCTTTAAATTGTTACTACATCAAAAATAGGATTTTATTTTTGTAATCCATATCAAACAAAATAATTGACAATGTTTTTCTTACATTTACCAAACTGCTCGCTGTAACCATGATTGGTTCCGTCCCGATAGCGGAACCAATAACAAAGATGTTGCGGCCGGACCTTGGGATGATTTGCTAGTAACTTTTTTTTGTGGACAACATGGGGAATTTTAAATTCAGCGAAAAATAGGCTATCCATCCAAGAGTTTTCTGCATGGTTAAAACCACTACCAGGGAATGTAGATAGAGCACGATTGGAATCAAGGCAGTGGAGACACATGTGCGAAGCATGAAAATCAAAGCGTCAAAATCAACTTATGGAGAAGCAGCAGGTATTTCTTCGTTCTGTTCCACCCTTGTCTCTGCAACGCCTCCATAGCATCTATCACATCACCAACAGTGCCAGTAGAACCCAATCTCCGGATAATGTTTGGCGGTACGCCGACAATGAAAGTAGAAGGATTGAGTAGGGAACAAAACAAAGTTAGTGAATTCAGTTCAGTAGTTGTTAAAAATATATCTGTTTGTTTTTAGCTTTCTTCTTATATGGAAAGTTTTTCAAAATTTGAAACATATCTACTGGGCCAGAAAGTAATGGTTTATGTTAAAATAAACATTTGGGGTAAATTTGTCGCTACAAGGTTTTTCTTGTGTCTATTGTAAAGTTTGTGTTGGATTTTTATTTTAAATGGTCTTAAAAGTCTTAAACTCTTGAATTTAACTTGCCTTATGCTGTAGGAACCCTGTTTATTTATTGAAGTAGAGGTGTTAATAGCAGCTATTTTAAAGTCCGATCTAGGATTAAAAACAAAACACAGCTAAATAGATGAGCTTAGAGCCTTTATAAAATATATGGTATGAAAAGAATGCATGTGGTTTGCTTCTCCTTTAAGAGCTTTGTTAAAAATGGGAACTAGGTTTAAAAACGGAAGGTCGTACAATCTATAGAGACAAGATAGAATTTTTTGAAGGCCTAATTGGGCCAGTGGCTCTCTTCAAGAAGCTGAACGTCGCTAAGCGTAATTGTTTTATTAATTTTCTGTTTAGTTGCAACAGGATAGTGTTCACTAATGAACAGTGGGACAACATAATTTAGTTGTAGAACTACTCTATTAGGTAAGCAAGATTTAACAAGAACACCTGATTTGACAAAAACATTCAACAACTTAAGGCAATTAACTAAATTATCTTGGTGTGTTGTTCATCAGTGATAATAGGAAGGATCAGGGGATGCACGGATACATTTGAGGCCTCATCTGCAGTGGCCTTACCCGTCGTGCTAAAGAATGAGCTGGGCCAAAAAGCTAAAAATGCTATTTCAGATAAAAATGGCTTAATTCATAAGCCCTGGTTCATCATGTGGGGGTAATTAGAGGTAGAAGGGCTGCTCCTCCACAGGATGGATTGATGAGAAGTGCTTCTGCCATCTTTAGGGGTTTTTGTGACATGTCTCGTCTGCAGGAAGCTGCTCAGCACGCTCAGATTACGCTGGAGAGTTACCTTTAAAGTCTTCTTCCTAGAGCTGTTGTGTCATGGTCAAGTTGGATGGGAATTAATATTATAAATAACCACAGCAATTAATGTAGTCTTCTTTTAGATGTTGCTTAAGATAAACATTAGCAGACAAATGTGTTTTTTCTTAAAGATTCAAATACTTACAGGTTTAAGTGTTCAATCTTGTCCAAATATTCCGTATATAAGACTTCACAATTATTAAATCAGATTTTTGCAGTTGCCATCTGTCACTATGATTATCTGCAACAATTTTCCAATGTCTGTAAAGAAATGAATGTAATTTTGCTGTCATTCCTGTCTGCACTGGTAGCTGGTATTTCCTTCCCCTTAAAGACGGTAGCATGTGGGGAATCACGTGACTCCACTGATCCTGTCAGAAGCGCAAACAAAGAGAATGGCGGATGAGCCCAGTGAAGAAGCGTCTAACACAGCTGTAAACAAAATTACATTAGTTAATCCCGTGGACCCGGACAAGAGCAGAGATAAAGCTAAGCGCGCAGAGAAGTCAAGAGCATGTTGTCACAGTTGAGCACGCGCAAGACCTCTTTTGAGTGAAGGTGTGCAAGTTTAAACAATGCACATTCATCCCACTACACGCTCAGTTTGGTGGTACCAAAATTACGCCATAGATGTTGAGCAAAAAAAATCAACAACCACGAAATGCAAAGTTTGTCTGCAAACTGTAACACAATCAGCCTCCACCACCTACAGCACAGCTACACTGTTGAGTACCTTTGAGCAAAAAATGTTTGCAAGAGAGGTAACATTTTTCTCTTGTTCAATGACAAATTGTTTAACATTTAAACCTGAATGGGTACAAAACTTTAATATTTAATTGAAAGTAATGTTGTCAAGTTGTTTTCTGTGTTGTGCAGCTTCTCCAGTTGAAAAGGGATGGATAAATTGATGACTTTCATCGACAGGGTTTTACTCAAAAGGACCACACAGTTTACTTCCTTTTATCCTTCGTTTATTTAGTGAGTGGCAGGATATGTTAACAATTGGTCCAGCGGCAGGTAACAACCTTGTAACAAACCCCCCAAAAAAATACTAATTTGTATGTTAGTTTACATATATTAATTCCACTAAAACTACAAAGGAAATTATAAACTGTAAGCAAACCGCTGTGAATCAAACCCATAAATTAATTGAAGTTAAATGAAGTAACTAAAGTTCCTTAACTTAAAAATATATTTCAAAAAATATTTACAATTACATTTATTTAAATATACAAATACTACTTAATTTTATAAATAGCTTCATGTTGTTATTCTTCTTAATCTGATGCTGAAATAAATCATAGTTGAACTTAACACCCAAATTTACTATTCAACAAAATAACAATATCAGTTCAATCATAAAATCAAACACCGCCCGACTTTACCACCACAATCCACCTCTTCAGTTCAGGTGTAGCTGTTAATTGGTGTTAATGGGCTGGCAAAGCTGGAGGAACATAGGTAAGCTTGCAGTCTGATCTCATAAATAATACAGCTTCTCTTACCGGCTGCTTCTCCGCCCGTCTACAGATTCATCCAGATCTGCACAGGATCTCTGATCATAAGAGTCCCAAACTTTTGTCCTCTTTGTCTGGATTTCTGTTCTACTCCTTCCTCCATTGTCCATCCCTCTTATAGGTCCGTGTGAAACAGTGCACTGGTCCCGCTTTTTTCCCCTCTTTTCTCATTTGACTTCTCAAATATGTAATTTGAATCATTCGAGCATTTATCGTTATCGAGGTAAAACTGCCCAATTTATCGTGACATTGATTTTAGTTTTTATCACCCAACCTAGTTCCTTCGCACAACTTCAGGTGGTTTGCCTTAGTATTCTAGTTTATGACATTGTGATTTATAAGTTAACTGCTTAATTAAAAACTAGTTACGAGTTCAGTTTATACAATTTAAAAGTTGTTATACAGTCATTAGATGATTTATGTCTTTGCTAAATCAGTGTCTGGCAGAATCACATTAATTCTCCACAATGATGTGTCATGGTGTAAATGACATAATGGCCCTCCTTCATTCCTTTGTTCTCCCAGGTTGTAACTGGTGGCCACTATGATGTAGACTGCCGCCTGGAGGACCCAGACGGTACTACGCTCTACAAAGAGATGAAAAAGCAGTACGACAGTTTTACCTTCACAGCAGCCAAGAACGGCACCTACAAATTCTGTTTCAGCAACGAGTTCTCCACCTTCACACACAAGACCGTTTACTTTGATTTCCAAGTTGGCGATGACCCTCCCCTCTTTCCCAATGAGAACAGAGTCACCGCTCTCACTCAGGTGAGTGTTTGGTCTGCATGTTGCTCTCTTAAAGAAGGAGAGTTACTCTTTCATCACCTTGCTGTTAACTCTTTAGGATTTGCTGCTGGGAAAAAAAGCAACAAACTACTTTCCCAAAGTCACAGAATCACATTATTTAACATTAAGTCATGAGAACCTAGCTTAAACTTTGAACTATGCAAGAACAATCTACAGTTTTGTTTTCTAAGAAATAAGATATGTAGATATGTGAAAGAAGCCATAATCTGGTATTTCACGTATGTAATCCCTGTAAATTTGTCTTAAAATCCATTTTTAGAGCTGAGGGTAAGCATGAGAATTTGTGCGTGTGTGTTTTCGTGTGATGTGGCAATAGCAACGTTACCAGTTCATGCTTCGTTATGCTTCCTATATCTTTCCTTGTTCCAGATGGAGTCAGCCTGTGTGTCTATCCATGAGGCCTTGAAGTCCGTCATAGACTACCAGACGCACTTCCGGCTCCGTGAGGCCCAGGGACGCAGCCGGGCTGAGGACCTGAACACCCGTGTTGCCTTCTGGTCTATCGGAGAGGCCGTTATCCTGCTTGTGGTCAGCATCAGCCAGGTGGTCCTGCTTAGAAGCTTCTTCTCAGACAAGAAGACCACTATGACACGAGTTGGATCCTAACAGCCAAAGAACCTCAGAAGGTTGTTCAATTTATCGCTTTTTGTTTGTACCTGAGCGGGTGGGAGAGCATAGAGTGAGTAAGAACAGCAGTGCCGATGTGGAGCTTTGATCATATCAAACAATCTGATATTTCCTTCTCGATTAGCACTGTGGTTCTTAGAAACTTTATGCAAATAAGCTTTGTAGGGAAAAAGGTTTTGAGGGGTTAAAGAAAGCGGATTACTTGATGTGTGGTTTTTGAATACAGGTCAAGCTGGTCCTATGGTTGAAACAAACTAAGTTATGTTCTAGTTTCGTTTGTGTTTTGGTTGTCTATCTTTACCCTTCCCTGTCTGCTGCATTTTCTGTGTACAATTTGTAGAAAGCAAAGTGGTCCAACAATGTATAAAATGTTCTTATAATATTTTCTGGATATCTCTATATCCGTGACTCTAAAATTACAGCTAATGTAAAGGGTACTTTCCTCACAGGTTTTATTTGGTAAAGAAAATTATTTGGAATTAGACAAACAAGTATTGTATTAAACAGGATCAATAAATCCATTGGTTTATTTTTTGTCGGCTTTTCATTTTAAATAAGTGATTTGAGTGGATTATGCCATAGAGACCATCATTAGATACAAATTTACCACCTTTCTACAAACCTATGGTTTGGATCTTTGGCATAAATAAGTAACTATATATCTCTAGAAGGATTTATTGACACAGCTTTTTTATTTTAATTTCAGTTAGCCCCATGTTCAAGCTTTATCAGCTAGGTGAAATGTTTTTCATAAAGCCAACAGTTTTAACTCCACAAGCTTCTGCAATGTTGTTGTGTTTTTTGTTTTTTATGTAGTCTTGCCTCTCCTGTTTTAAAGTGTAACAGCCTATTTATCCTGTAGCCTGGTGGTGTCATTTTAGTTTTGTGCAACACTGTTGTAAATCTGTTCATAAAGCATAGTTTCAACAACATTTTTCATTATTACTGGGTTTAAGTATGATTTGGTGAATTCTTGTGCTGGCTAATTGGATTGTTTACAAAATAAACTGTTAAAAATTGGCACAATCATCAAATGTTTCCAGCATTTTCATTTTGACTCCAGATGACACACTCTATTGTTTTTTTTTTTTTTTTTCATTTTGGATTTTACTGGGTTGTTTGAATACATTTCTGATCCAAATGTATGTTTATTTTATTGTTTATTAAAAAAAAACAAAAAACAGAATTTCTGGACGCACCTCCTGGTCGTCTCCCTTTCAGCCTGTAGGGGGCAGCATTACCAAAGCTGTAAAAAGCCAGAAGTTAATTCAGCATTTCTTTTGGAGGAAATTTGAGAAAGACAAAAACATATCATCTTCACATTGAGATGCATTTTTTTCTTTTATTTTACATACTTGTGGTCACCATGCAGAACAAATAACAAAGAGAATATAAAAGTAAAAATCAGCTGCAAATAGAAACACTTTCATACCTGTATTTTCACAATGACAGCTGGTAGCATAATGTACTGATAGGAGGGGAAGTCCTACATATTAGGGCAAAGTTTTCTTAGCATTGTATTACACATCCTATCAGAGCAGACTTTCAGTGATTTCTCTGCTGATAGCCAGTTCATCAGCATACATAAAGTGATTAATCAGAGTATCACTGACATAGGATTAATTGTTTTGATAAGGCCTCCATGTAGAGGTTAAACAGAACTGACTGATTTGATACAGTCGAACACTATTTCTTTTAGAAAGGCTTACCCAGCTAGTGGGGCTGATATAGGATTAGACTGCTGGAGAACATAGGGACCACTTTTCATCATTCTGCCTTATTCTATCTCTGTTCTACTATATTTGTTAGTTCAACCCCTAACTATATGTTCTCGCTTTCATTATTTTGGCATGGAAACTCGGTCAGAGCTCAGCTGCTTCTCTCTTTTCCTAGACAGAGCCACCAAAGGAGCTAGTCTGTTTCTGACAATGTATTTATAGATTAGGGCATCTTTGTCCATTGTGTGTGTCTACTTCTTTATTCTTGAACCCCCAGTTGGCCTCAGCAGAAGGTTGCTCACACTGAGCCTGGTTCTGCTGGAGGTTTCTTCCTGTTAAAGGGGATTTTTTTTTTTTTTTTTTTGCTACGTTCATGCTCACTGTGACGGATTGTGGTAGAGTGAATGTCTACTGTTGGAAATTCTCTTCAGGGAATAGTCTGTCCTGATAAGTCAGTGACTAAATGCAGTCAGCTGGCCTCCTTTATTGGAAAGCTTTGAACTAATCTGATTGTATGATCTGATTTTCTCTCAACAGTGCATTGAGATGACATTTCTCAAATGAAATGAAATTGAAATGAATAGAAATTCCAGTTTAAGAGAAACTGTTTCATCATGTTCAGTATTTTTATCTCTGCTGCTACAGAAGAGTGTAGCGTTGAAGTAGACTTCAACAACGATAAACATATTAACTTTATATTTCTTTTTTTAGAACACAGTTCAGTCAAACCTGTTCTTACAAAAGAAAAGCATTCTCACTGCATCATATTTTATCACCATAGAAACCACCATGAAGATGTGCTCCGTAGGTTTTCCTATCAATGAATTTGGTACATATTACACAACACTGGCATATTTTGGTCTTATTGTACTTAGTTGTTGGTCTAGTTGGTTAGAGCAGTGAGCTTGTGTTCTGAGTGAGAATGTTGCAAGTACCTGGTTCGATCCCCACAACCTTCACTCTGGCTCCCTGAGCAAGACCCTTAACCCCACACTGCTCCTCAGGCGCCTCACAATGGCAGCCCACTGCTTCCCAAGGGGATGGATCAAATGAAGAGAGTGAATTTCCCTATTATGGGACAAATAAGGAATTTAAATACATTACTTACTACTGCTATTTATATTGCCACTGCTTTTAATCGAAATAAAACACCATTTACTTCACTATTGGACTAGATAACTAAAATATCACACATGGAGGTATGCAGATTTAAGATAACCAGTTCTGAAATTTTATGAAAATTACCACATTTGTGAGGTAATGTGTTTTTGTTTTCTTATAATGGTAAGGAAGGATGCTGGGTCTGTTTTTTTTTTTTTTTTCCAAACATTTCCAATCAAACCGATTTCTAGACTTTATTTCAAATCAGTATTTTTCTGCCTTTGATCTCATAACATTTAGTGACACACGTTATAATATGATTTATTTTTAAGTTTTAAATCTTGCTCAGGAGTCCATCCTACTGAAGAGGAATAGAGCCACTGAGAAAAAAAAAGTAAAATGATGTTTAAATTTTATTGCAGTTTACTATGAGAAAAAGTCAAAATTCAGACTTTAATCTTAGAATTCAGACTTTTTTCTCAGAATTCTGACTTCTTTCTCAGAATTCTGATTTTTTTCTAAGAATTCTGACTTTAATCTCAGAATTTTGACTTTTTTCTCAGAATTCTGACTGTAATCTCAGAATTCTGACTTTTTTCTCAGAATTGTGAATTAATCTCAGAATTCTGACTTTAAGCTCAGAATTCAGACTTTAAGCTCAGAATTTTGGATCTTAATGTAGATGGCCACCATGAAGGGAGAGATGTGTGAGCACTTAGCTTCACTGACAAAGATGTGAGTTTTTGGGAGGGCCGGTGACACATGGTGAAAAATTAAGAAATTAGGCAACTTTTTACGTGCCTGAGGGGTACCTGGTGATGCTATTTCATTAATGGAAGAGCAGAAGGTGATTAAAACAAGAGAGCTGAGCTAGTCTATAAAACAGACATGGCTACAGCTTGATGCTAACATGTTTGTTAGCTGTTACATTAAAGTAAGAATTCTGAGATTAAAGTCAGAATTCTGAGTGAAACAAAAGTCTGATTTTTTTTCCCATTTTAAACTGAAACAATATTTAAAAATCAGTTAACTTTATTTTTCTTTTTTCAATGGCCCTAATCCTCTTCCGTACCATCCAACTTTAGTTTGCTACAAATAGCTACGTAATCAGCTATCTGGTCTGTGATTGGATGTTGACCCGCCAATCATCCAATGTTAAGGACAGAAAAGCCTGAGTTTACGCTGTGATTCGACAGAAACCGAGTCGTGATCATCCGGTCTATCCGTGGGTGGTTAGGCTCCCTAATTTACGTTTTTTTTTTTTTAAACCTCTTTGAGAAATATTCCACCGTGTCAGATCGTTGGGTAGCTACAACGAATCTATCATTATTCCCCCATTTCTGGGCGTTAAAGATTTTTCTTCGGGGTTTTTTTTTCGTTGTATGTGGATGTGTGTGAGGGGAAACACTCCGCTCTGACACCGGGGATATCCCCCCAGCCCGTTCGCTCCAGCATTGTTTTCCCAGGCTAGGCTAGCTCGGCTTTACGGGTGGGGGGTGGATTTCTATCTTCTCGGCCCTAAGGAGAAAACAAATACCATGAAATTTCGTCGGACTGTGATAAGCCAAGGAAAAAGAGCCGACGAGGGAGAGGACGACGGGCCAGCGGGAGAGTTTCGCTCAGACGATCAGCTAGGAGGTGATAAGTAGAGCAGTTTTATCGATTAAGGAAGTTGATTAGCTCGCTCCACTTCAAATGTGTCGCCTTATCACCGAGATTCCTTAGAAGAGACTCGGTTATTTATAGAAGTTACGTTTCAAATAACCCACCATACTAATGCTGAGCTAGTAAAAAGCCCAACGGAAGCTAACCAGCTAGCTTAGCGTTAGCTAGAAAGTGGAAGGTTGTAAACAAAGGCTTCCCGGCTACGACATCAACCCCCCTTTTAAATAAGCAGTGAATCTCATCAGACATGGATTTAAAGACTGCGGTTTATAACGCCGCCAGGGACGGTAAGCTCCGCTTGCTTCAGAAACTGTTGGAGAACAAAGATGGACACGAAGTGAGCAAGCTGATGGGGGAGAAGACGAACGGAGCCACTCCGCTGCTGATGGCCGCTCGGTACGGCCACCTGGACCTGGTGGAGTACCTGCTGGAGTGCTGCTGTGCTCCGGTGGAGGTAGGGGGCTCGGTGAACTTTGATGGGGAGACGATAGAGGGGGCGCCCCCTCTGTGGGCAGCTTCGGCAGCCGGTCACCTAAAGGTGGTCCAGTCCCTGCTGGGACACGGAGCCTCTGTGAACAGCACGACCCTCACTAACTCCACGCCCCTGAGGGCAGCCTGCTTTGACGGGCACCTGGACATCGTCAGGTACTTGGTGGAGCACAAAGCTGACCTGGAGGTGGCGAACAGACATGGCCACACGTGTCTGATGATCTCCTGTTACAAGGGCCACAAGGAGATAGCGCAGTACCTGCTGGAGAAAGGGGCGGATGTCAACAGGAAAAGCGTCAAAGGTCAGTTCACAACCACCTACATTACATTCTTCTGCATATTTTGTGGCTTTGATATTGCTCCTGCTTTTTTTTAATTACCTGTTTGATTATATATATTAATTAGGGATGCACAATATAATCGGCCCCCTATCGGTATCGGCCTTAAAACTGAATATTGGACATCGGCCACCCCACCGATATTTAACCCGATATTTGATCAGCTTCTGAGTTTCTAAAGTCTAAAAAAAAAGAAAAAATACTACTTCTTCTTCTCCTCCTCAAAAACTTCTTTTTTACAGACTTAAAAACTTCTAAAGACGAGGGAAAAAATATTGATACATTAAAATATCACAATATCTTCATATGCTGATATATTGCCATTTAAAAACACCATATCAATCTCTTTTACTAATGAAATATTGCTATATGTCATCGTTATGCTACGAAATCCCCCGAAAATTCACGAAATGTTGCCATATTTTATATGTTGATATATTGACACGATATCGAACTATTTTACTAACAAAATCTCACAAGAATTTGCAAAATATCACGAGAGTTTGTAACAGAATGATGAAAAATTTCACAAGATTTTGAAAGTAAAATAGATCGATACCGCGTTTTTAAAAATCTATTTGATATCAGCATATGAAAATATATTTGAGTATATTATTTTTCAAAGTGTCAGAAATGGATAATAAAACTGCTATTTTCAATGACTTATTTTTGTCCAGCTTTAACATCGGTATCGGTTATCGGCTACATGAGTTTTAAAATATC